TAAAATCCTAAACTGAGAGGCAGTACAGTAAAGTGACTAGAGCACTAGCTGAGGAGCCAGGATGATTCAAATGCTGATTCTGTCACTGTCACTAACCTCAAGTGATCTTAGAAAAGACATTTTAACTCTTTAGGCACTCATTCCTATCTTTACAGTGAGGATTTGGGGCCTAAGTGACCAATAACAGGGTTGACAAACTGTGGTCCTGGCCATGGATCAAATTTACCTGCTGTCTAGTTTTACGTAGCCCTTGAGCTAAGAATTATTTATTTTTTAAATTTTTTTTAGAGACAGAGTCTCACTTTGTCGCCCTGGGTAGAGTGCTGTGATGTCACAGCTCACAGCAACCTCCAGCTCTCGGGCTTAGGCGATTCTCTTGCCTCAGCCTCCCGAATTTTTTTTTAAATGATGAGGTCTGACTGTGTTAACCAGATTGGACTCCTGGGCTCAAGCAGTCCTCTGACTCAGCCTCCTGTGTAACCTGGGATTATAGGCACATGCCACTGCACCTGGCTAAGAATGGATTTTAAATAGCTAAAAAAGAATAATAGAAGAATGATATTTCATGATACAGGAAAATTTACGAAAGGCATATGTCCACAAATAAAATTTTTTTGGAACACAGCCTTGTTATTACATAGTTATTTATGTACTGTCTATGACTGCTTTCGCACTACAGCTGCAGAGTTGGATAGTTTTGACAAAGATCATGTGGCCTGCAAAGCCAAAAATATTTACTGTTTGGGATATTAGAGAAAAGGTGTGTGCTGACCCCTAACCTATAGGAAGGATCTTCTACTGCTCTTTGATCTATGAAATAGTTGTTGTTATGCAGAAGTATTATTGTACTATAGGACAACTCAGCTTAATTAGCAAAACACTTAATGTTTTCTTGAGCATTTTTTTTTTTTTTTTTGAGATAGAGTCTCACTATGTCACCCTTGGTAGGGTGCCTTCAGCTTAATGAGCAAAACCCTCGATGTTTACATGAGCATCTTTTTTTTTTGAGACAGAGTCTTACTATGTCACCCTCAGTAGAGTGCGGTGGCGTCACAACTCACAGCAACCTTAAACTCTTGGGCTTAAGCGATTCTCTTGCCTTAGCCTCCCAAGTAGCTGGGACTACAGACATCCACCACAACACCCAGCTATTTTTTGTTGCAGCTGTCATTGTTGTTTCACAGGCCGGGGCCAGGCTCCAACCCACCAGACTAGGTGTATGTGGTCGGCGCCCTAACCACTTAGCTACAGGCACTGAGCCCACACAGCTCCTCTTAATAAGGTTCTATCTCATTGTAAATTCATTCTTGACTTCTTGTACAACCTTGGCGTACACAAATGGAACATCTTTTCTCTTCATCCTCCCCTTCCTTTCTCCTTCCTATCGGTCAGGAAGGCTGTGCTGCCTACCTCCATCCACTTCCTCAGACTCTGTCTCTTCTACCCAAAGCTGACAAATCCACCTGCTAATATAAGAAGTCCAGAAAAATTGTTGAATCTAATTATTATCTGAACTGTAATTCAATCATGTCATTCTGTCCTTTGAGTGCTCAATGGCTACGTGTTTTGGTGGTTTTGTTCTTTTTTTTTTACTTTAGTTTCTAAGAAATGGAAGAGAAAGGATGGCTCTAAAAAAAGGAAGTCTTTTTAAAAAAA